CGTTGCCTGCTCTCTTCATCCTGTCACCCCCAAGCTGTCCAGGGCACCAAATATAGGTGGAGAAGGAATAAGGAAGTTTTCTAAAAACCTACCTTTCCTGAAAGGAAGTGCTAAGTTTATGATGCATTAGGCAATAATCGCTGCATGTATCTGTTCTTTAGGAAGTGGGAACTGTGCATGAAGTCAGCACACATTTATTGAGCAACTAATAAGCATCTGATACTCGCCACACACACTTGACAACTTCAGCATTCTCTTTTCAAACCCATGTCCCAGCTACTTTTGATTCACAGGGACTGAAATGTAATAAGGAAGGCAGCCTTAGCCCTGTGGTGCAACCAGCTCAACCTGGCTTTGGATAAGTGAGATGTAGATATGTCTGCCTCCTTCCCTGGCAGGCTCCATTTAGTCAGGGCTCTGGCTCTTGGAAACTAATGCAAGGTTTCAATAGTTGAGGCATAGTTCTGAGGGTCATTTATTCCGCAGGTCACTAACTTGTGTCCAGAACACTTAGTCCAGTTGATTATGCTCAGAAAATATTTTCCAAAGCCTTCAAATTTACCTTAAATATCTTTGAGATCAACTCAGTCCTGAAAATACCTACAAAGGCCCAAATGAAAACAGATTACTGAAACCCTAACTCTACCATTAAATTCTACTATCAGGTTGATCAGACTAGGCCTGCTTCTTCTTGCTACAGCCAGCCTGAAAGTGTGGCTTGCTTGGTTACTCTTTCTGATCTCTATTCCCACCAATGTACTTACTTTTACCTCTCATCCTTAACTTATTCACTCCTGTAACCATGTATATGAGTTACTTCATATGGTTCCAGATTCCATTCACTCATATTGGATATGAATACCATATGCTGAAGTGGGTATCTTGCTATTTACACACAAAGCCTGGGTTCTCCTGCCTGTGTTTCTTAGAGTTCCTTTACTGTACTTTACACAGCTTGACAATCAGAAAATTGTAAATGATTTCTGAAGAAAATGTAATGAGTGTATACCAGAACGGACCTGCATTACTAGGCCTGCCTCGGAAATGTTCCTGCAGGGATAGGCCCTTTGCTCCTATTTCTATATTCCCAATACTAGGCATGCAGTTTAGGAAAGGAAACATGATCATGTATCTTTGTAGTAGGCCCAGGTCTGCTAATAACTAGGTGCATGCCTTTGAGTCACTTTTTATATGTATTCTGAGCCATGGTTTTATTATCTGTAAATAAGTGGATTGATTTAGGCTTCAATTCCATGAGAGTAGAGACCAGTATGTAGTTTATGGTCCTCAGTACCTAGACTAATATGTGGCACACATGTTTGCTGTGTGAATAACAGTAGAAATAAACAAATTAAGATAGTTTTAATAACCCCCTTGGTCCTAACATTCTTTGACATAATGGCATCTATTCCCCTGTAAGCACGTGCTCAGATCCTATCCAACCATGTCTCCACATGCTGAGGTTGATACTGCTAACCTCTGTGTCTCAGCACTTTATGTAATAAAAAGTGACCTGTTTACTATAACCTTCTTCACTAGCAATCAGTAGATGTTTTCAGAATAACCACAGGTACTACTAAAGTGCAGTAAACCGCATTCTGATGTTCAGGTTTGGGAAAATTCTGGAGTCCACAATCTGGCTTTTGAGGATTCATAAAACTCCTGAAATAGTAGCAAAGTTTTGTGTGTTTGAGACTATGTGCGATTTCCTGGGAAGTGAGACTGTAGCAATCATTATCTTAGGAAAAAAAGAATTAAGAGCCACAGGAAATCTGTCCTCATTTTCAAGAATTTGCCCAGGGCTCTTTATGTGCAAAAAAACACAGCACCTCAGTTTGCAGGTGTCTGCTCTGCCTTTGGGGCGGAGGGCAGGAGGGTGTCAGAAGTGGGTGCTTAAGAGGGTCTAAGGAATCTTGAAAAGGACTGAATAGGCCGGGAGGCCTCGGGTTTACCTGGCGCACCCCTGTAACTCCATTCCTCTCAGGCTCGCCACTTTGGCCTCTGAATCAAGGGCATCTTCATCCACGTCTTCCTCATCCTCCCCGTCACCGTCGTTCTCGTCAAATTGGAAGCTCTGGTGCCAAAGGGGAGACAACAGCGACCTGGTGGAATTGCTGCAGCTCAGCGGCGGCGATGGCGAACGCACCACCTCCAGCCCCTGCCCACGGGCGCCCGTCATAGGGACGGCGAAGGAGCCCGAGGAGGGCCGAGACCTGGGTCTGCAGTCAGCAGAGAGACCGGTGTAGGAAGGGGGAGAAGTAAGCCCCCAGCGGCCCGCCGCCCACATCTGGCCCGCCAAGTTTAAACCGGCGGAGCCGCGGCGGGGACGCGCTCTCCCAGCAGGCCCTGCGCGCGCCGGCCGGGCCAATCCCGGCAGGCACATACCCTGCGCTGCCATGGCGACGCGTGGAGGCTGGGAGGGCTTTGTCTGGGCCTGAAGAGCTTGGCTTCCTCCGCCCCGGCCCTCCTTGGCCAGCCCTTCCTCCTGAGTGGCAGGAAGGTGCCTGCTGTTTGCAAGCTTGTTTAGCACGGTGCCTCCCCACGCCACTAGCGGCCCTACCGACAACTTTGAGGGCCTGTCCCTTGTTTGCCGTGGTGCAGAAGCAGAAGCCAAAACTACACCCTATATAATTACAGGGTCAGAATTATGAGCATCGGTCGTGATTTCTTTCAGCACAGCCGATATATTTTGAGGAGAGGGGAGCGAACTTGATCCAAGTTTACAGGTGTACCCCAGAACGCACTTTTAGGGCAGTCTTTTGAGTATTTTGTAGCACTTCGTTTGCTTGGCATCTTAAGGGACCTAATTTGTCTCTACATGTGAATTTTTGGCCTCTTTGAAGCCTCTAGTGTATGCTAAGGTCTGCGTAAAGCACTAGGGATACATGATTAAAAGTCTTGTCCTTAAGTTCCTCATCCTTTTGTGGTGAAAAATCATCTCAGTAAATATGGTGATATGCATTTTATGTGGGATCTTAGGGGCACTCTCCTCTTTGGAATGGGGATAAAGATAGTAAGGGAGAGGTGGATGCTTTATTCATGCTGACAAAACTGTGTACATTTGTAAATAAATAGGGCTTTTGTCCAGTTCATAATGTATATTACTGGTAGAAATAACATAAATAAAAATTAACCATGGCGAACATAGCACACAAATTTTTTTAGTAACCAGAGTGATACAAAAACCTTTGACGAAATCTAGATCTGCAAAATTTAACACAGGAGAACTAGCTCTGGTAGAAGTAATAACAACCAAAGACAATTCAGAAGGCAGAGCTATAATTAATAAAATATGACATGGTTAAATCTATTTAAATGGAATATTTTGTTTAAATTTTCGGTAAAAACAAAATGAAAATGAAAGAAAATTGGAGCACTCCAACTGAGTAATAAAGTTGATCAAGGAATAAAATTGACCTAATGGACTTTTCGTTCTCAACCCTAGTTATTCAATATTGGCATATCTGGTTAAAACCTTTTATTGGAACATCTCTAGAATCAGTAACATTGAAAGGCCCTGGTCTTCTTCAGGGCCTCATAAAGAAGTATGCTTGAGAAGCTATTTTCTCATGTATAAAACCAGACATAACTGTAGTGGGAAAACACTAGTATGAAAGGGACCTGGAATCAATGGTTTTCCTGGTGCTTGATAGGTTTTCCAATCCTAACTTACTCCTCTGAAAATGGGGGAAAAATGACCTCACAGGGTCATATTATCTCATTAATTCTCAAAGTTTCTAAGCTCAGGATCTGACAGATACGATGAAAAATTATGTGTAAACTCCAGAAATTGTACCCTTTAACCTTTTGATACGGGAATCTAAATGTCATATACTTCTTTGTCCCCTTAAAATGTTTTCCTAAACAAAGTATACCCTTTTCTTGATGCGCTAGGATCATCATTATGACCAACTGTATGTACTAGCAATGCTGGACCACCCCAAGGCTATGGGGGGGGGTGCTGGTGCTGGTGTTTGAACATAATTGAGTCCAGCAGTCTCATTTCTTACAGTGCCTTTTCATTACTGGAGCTGAGGAGTCATAATCAAGATGGGTAGAATTATATTAAATGCACAAATATATAAAAGAGTGTCTCTCCCCTAAAGTTTTAGGATATTGACTGAGTGACATATTTTCATACAGTTAAAGTACTTTGACTTTCATGGAATATTTGAGATAATTATGTTTTACTGGCTCTGGAAATTTGCATAAGAATGATTTTTGCTTAAATAATTCCATCACCAGTTAGCCCTATGGCAATATATTATGCAACTTTAAAAATTTATCCCTAGACATTAGTATTTACAGATGAAACAATATGATGTCTTGAATATGCTTCAAAATAATCCAAGGGGTAGAGGGACTGAAAGGGGTTAGTGAATGTGATGAAGATGAAACAGGGATCACTATGTGCTGCAGGTAATTGTCAAAGCAGTGATAGGTATGGGAGGAAGGGTAGAGAGGTGGGATAATTAAACTATTCTACTTTTGTTATGGAAATTTCAAGCATATGTAAAGTTTAACACAAACACATACACAGAATTATGTCTAGAATGAAGAGGCATTGGGTTCTGGTTTGAGTTCTAATTTGCTGTGACTCAGGGATTCACTTAAATTTCATTAAACCTTTTGTTTTTTCATCTGTAAGGTAAGGACTAATGATTGTACATACTGAAGTATTTCTAAGCATCTGGGCAATTACCTACATTTAATATAATCCAGATTTTTTAATCGTTTGCTTTTTAGATAAAGATTGAATCAATGGTTTTTCTGAAATTTCATAATCTGTTTTCCATGAGTATGGTTCAGACTCAGGATAAAACCTTATTTATAAATTTCAGCAAAATGTTCTTACATATTTATAAATAAATATCAAAATAGTGTTTTCTAATGGTTACTTTCAACGTTTCTTTTAATACTGTCCACTTAAAAATATTTAATTTGCTTACTTTAAAACTAAATTCATTAATATACCTAGTTTTAAATTAAGGCGAAATAGATTGCTTTCTAGAAACTTTAATATTTCAAAACACTGAGTACAATATTGTATTTCATACCATATATAGCACAAAGATTAACACATTTTATATATCTGTTATTCTAGTTTTTAAATGAATAAAATAAAAAATTTTCAATATTTTGAATTTTGGGGGAAAAAAACCTTTTAATTAGGAGTTTCTTACCAAGTTACGATTTAATATTTATCAGATGTGTAAATATACAAATATGATAGCAATTTTTAAAACTTGTAAATAGTTGGCCTTACAAAATTACAACACACTGTAAATAAATCCTTCCCACATTTTATACAAACTACATGATTTTGATATACAAAGATTCTGTTTTTATTACACTGACAATGTACAACAAAGACTATTTACAATGCAAAAAGTATATAAACCACAATTTAACATTCTGCTACTGGCAGCCACTATAGTTTAGGAGGTAGCTTTAATTAAACGAAATGAACAGAAGCCACATTTCCCAACTTGTGTTCTAAAAATAATTTACATAAGATAAAAATTCATTATATGCACAGTATGTACAGTTTAATTATTAAACTGCAATCTAGCTGAATGCTTTTTAGTATATTCAGAATAACTAATATGGCAGTGGGTTTGCTATTGATTTAGCACATTGTTCAAAAAACATATTGAACAATTATAACTTTAAGACTCCACACAGTAATAGGTCTAAAGCCCATACATGAGAATCAAGTAAAATTTTTAATTTTTAAAGACACAAGACTAAGATTTAATTCCTTCTTATATTTTTATTAATAACATATTATCTTGTTTAACCAGAGTTCAACCTCTGAACTATAGAATAGGCTTTTCATAAAAAAAAAAAAGATAGTATGGGGAAGATATATGGAAGTTTCCATTTAATAGCATAGGTTCAAGAGAATCCAGCTCACTAAGAAATAAACATAAGTACTTTGTGTCATAATTCCTCCCCATTTCTTCCAATTAAATGCAAGTATTGACCACAGTTTACTTTCTATATAATCCAAACTATTACTAGGTGACAAATCAACAAATTGGAAAATATCAGTAAAGCCAATGATATTAGGAAGTGTTTATTAATGAGAACATTACATGGAGCCACCAAATCCCTCTGATACTATTAAACCCCCACATTAGTTAGTAGTTTAGCCAAATCTATTAAACTCACACAGCAATTAGCCTTTTACTTTTTTTCTAGTAGTATAATCACAAAACACTGAAGAAAAAATTACTGATTGAACCAAAGCAATGTATAATGACTGAAAACAAATGTCCAGCTACTTTTTTTAACCTAACAGCTGTTAATATTGTTTTAAAAACATCTTCAGGTTTTAGATTTATAAATCACCTAAGCAAAACTTATGATTCTCTTATGTCACAGATGGCAACTGAAAATGTAATAAGGTAATGCCTATGTATACTCTCACAGTTCTAGCTGGGACAGTCTCTTTTTTGGCCCTGTAGTAAGTTGTCCTGAGATTAATGATGAAACATTAGGTAAAATTAGCAAGATTTTTTTCTTCAGTTATAGAAAATCACATTTTTAAATATATTTTAAAAAAATATTAACAGCTGTTCTTTTTCTTGTGCTTAATTCAGAAATAATTATAAATTTGCTTTTTATGGATCAGAAAAACCTAACATTATATTGCTGTACTACACCTCTGATCCTTTTCAAATCATACATTTGTTTCAAACAGACCATACATTGCTTGGACATTGCATTTTTCACCAATTTATAATTTAGGCACCTGTTCTTTGAAAATGACTGGCTTGAGAAATAAATTGCCACCTTCTCCTTCTTCTAAGTGACACCAGGCAGTGATTACAGAAGTGCTTCCCAGATGAAAGATCAGAATAGGGTTCACTCTATAAACACTGATTTTGGTTGATAGGGGAAACGGTTACATACACAGGAGTTCAGTCTTTAACTCTTGGTAGATTGTAAGCATAGCGCACCAAAGGGAATCCTCGACTCTGGTAGAAGCAGGCTCGTCCACAGGCCTGCACCTGGTCAGAACTGTCTGAGACAAAGGAATCTTCTTCATCTGCATAATCAGAGTGGGCTGACTGTGTGCCACAGTCGGACCAATAGCCCTCAGGTCTTTGGCAAGAAGCCACTGCCAGTGCTGGACAGCTGTGTGATTTTATCAAATGTTTGCATGATATTGGCTTTGTTAAAAGAAACGATTCGCAGCAGTCGCAAATAGTCAGATTACCCTGCAAGTGTGAGTACATGCCACAGTCATAGTAGAAATCCTGTTCCAGACAACCACCTTGGCTACTGATGGAAACTGAAACTGATCCACTTTTCTTGGTAACACATCGCTTCAGTAACTTCCAGTCTTCTTTAAACTTTGGGTTGAAGAAAACATACAGGACTGGATTCAGGCAAGCAGGCAATGGAAAAAATATCAGAGTAACAGACTTCATTATTTCGGGGCTGATAGAGATTGCAGTGATCAATGGTGCAAATGAGAAAAATGCAACAGGGCAGAAAAAGATGCAATTGGTAAAGATTAGCCAAGCGACATGCTTAATCATGCTAGATTCTGAGTTTTCTGAGAGGTCCTCTTTCTCCAAGTTGCAGTACAGCTTAGTGTACATAATGGCCATTAATAAAAATGCTAGTGAGTTTAACAGTACTAAGGTTACAGTGAAGCCTAATGATGGTGTTTCTCCTGTAGGAAATGGTAAGCAAAGGGGTGATGCAGAATATTCTCCTCTATGGAAAAGGTGAAAACAGCCTGCTATTGTAGCACCTAGGAAAGCCAAAAGGGCAGCAATCCGGAACTGTTTGAGATGATCGCTTTTCGCATTTTTCATTACATCTTTTGCAGATAAGCTTCTTTCAACAGTTGCTAGCATTAATAAAAATATGGCACTTTCTGAGGAGAAAACTGCAAGAAACCCAGCTACTTTGCAGCCACTGCCAGTTTCCCACCAAATGCCAAATTCAGCGAATCTGCCCCAGGATACAGCATCAAGAAAAGTAAGGATGCCGGTATAGATTCCCATGAATAGGTTAGACACAGAAATCAAGCCTATAAACAATTTGGATGAAGGCAGTGATGTACAAGATGCAAATGTTGTTAAAATGACAAGCAGGTTGAAAAATAATGCAACCAAGAAAATGAACCACACAGTAAGACGAATCATCCAGCTTCCCAGTAAATATTCACAGGGCTTAAAAGCACCTAAAACAAAACAGAGAGAGAGAGAGAGAGAGAAATAAAAGATAACTTAGAAAATAATTTAGAAAATGATATGGCTTGCCAGAAAAACTAATGATATAGGCTAATTAAATCTGTTCTCTATTTGAATTGAACAAAACTGAAATGATTACTGCTTCTAAGATATTTTAGTCATGGACTAGGCTATTTAAAAAAATAAACTGACTGATTTCTTTTATTAAATATTTGATAAGGCTGTAAAATATTTCTTTTATTAAATATTTGATAAAGAGTGATATTTAGATGAAAATTTTCATTTCTTTCTTGCACCTAAGCTAATTTACATAGCACAATGTTTAGGGCATAGGAGGTATTTGATAAACTGAGGGTCTGGAATGAGATGGTTGTAACTTGCTATTCTTACCTTGAGAAAGCAACTTAAAATTGTATAAATTTTAACCTGTATTTATTTTCTCACTTGTGGGTAATAATGCCTATTTCATACAGTTGTGCAGCTTAACTGAAATTATACACGTAAGGAACTAAGCAGGCTGCTGGATATATAGTTAGACTTCAATAATATTAGTTCCCTTTTCTTCCTTTCTAGCCCCAATATACTTTATAATTATGTATGTATATATTTGTATGTACACATATTTTTTATACATTTTCTTGTGGATTTCAAAAGCAACCTGATAGAGCAAGTTAAGGTAGGTATAATTATCCCCATTTTTTCATCCAGAGAAACTGATGTTTCAGAGCATTTGATTGACCTGACAAAGGCCATTCAGTGAGATAATGTAGTAGGACTACACCTCAGTGATGTTAACTATTCGTACAAAGCTACGCACAATAAAATTCTGCATAATACAAACTAGCATTGCAAGAACTCATTCAGTTGCTGAACTGTATGTTCCAGTAACTAGCTGACATGCTAGTTTTGACAAAAATTACAACTCTTTCACTGAAAAATTAGAAAAGAAAAACAAGATTCTGACTATGAAACACAAGAAAACTATGTATTACAATTACCTTAAAAACATGTTTCATGAACTGTCATGAAAATGATATATCCAATAAAACATTTTCAATTGTTAAGATATTCACAGCCCTAAAAAGCCAGTTCTGCATTTATCTATCTTCCAATTATCACAAAAAACTCTTATTTAAATTTCCTTTTAACTCTCCCTTCAGGAAGTGCTAAGAGAAAGCTCATTATCACCTTTAACTCTGTTATCTAAACTCATCCTTCATGGAAGGACTGGTAGCTCATCTACCTGAGAGAACAGGAAACCTTTTGAGAACCCTTTTATGTGTGAGAAAAGTTACCTTTCCAAAAAAGCCTGGGAAGCAGCCTCAATCCAGTCCCTGTCTTTGGAAGCCTGTGGCATCCTCTGGTGCTAACAGAAGGATCCTAGCTTTCCTCTACTTCCTGCTTCTGCAGCAAGCATATCCGTGTCTCTGTTTTACTACAACTGAGTAGGGGGAGGCAGGCCTGTAGAGTTCATCCCCACAGTAGCCCAAGGAGATGAGCTCAGACCAGCTTTCCTCCTGGCCAATCTCCAAAAGTTTAGGTTCAGGGTGGAAAAAATGGAAACGCTGCACATTCAAGTCCAGCTTCCCCTTTAAAAACCTGTTCCCTTCTCATTAGATCATCAGTTCTTTATGTACATTCTCTTTATGCACATGAACTCCAGTGAGACAAGTGAGTGAGCTGTACCTCAACCTTTACAAATTAATATAGATACTAACACACAATAAAATAAATTACATACACTTAGATGATTCTTGCCAATCACATTCACTTATCTGGTAACTTAGAGCTTATTCTCTACACAAGAAAGAATTCACAGAATACATAGGCAGCCCCTTAAGAAGCTCACAATTCAGCAGCAATCACTACTGAATCCATAATATTTATAATTCTGAGTTATAAAATTAATGTCCAGATTCTCCTGGGATATTACATTAACAAAGGAATCTACTTTGTGTACACAATTTAACTAAAATATTTAAGCCTTTCTTTTACAGTACAATTATAAATACATCTTCTCTGGTAGATTGGGCAGACTATGACAATCATGACCAAGTATGTGGTGTCAACTTAACAACTTTCCCAAGACTACTAAGTCAATAAAGTAAATGAGGGGAAAAAAGGAAGGGCAAGGCTACATTAAACACACAAAGAGACACACACAGACACACACACACACAATCTTTACATACTACTAACTTATAGAACTAGTCCCAGAGTTAGAGGAACATTAAGAAAGTGCCTCTGAAATTCTAATGTGTATAACTCTCACCTCGGGGAGCTTGTTAACATGCAGATTCTGATTCAGGAAGTCTGGGCCTGAGATTCTGCAAAAGATTCCTAAGCTGCTGGTTGTTACACAAAGCACAAATCAGAAGGCCTCACGAGAACCTCTAGTACCATCCCTAGTACAGAAACCACATCTATACCCAGGAGATTTAGATATATTTGCCTAATGTTTGTTTAACATGAGTAACGGTGGCAAAATAGGCTAGGCATACCTGTTGAAGGTGTACAGTGGATAATTATTTGACTATGTTCTTCATTTTCAACAGTGCTTGTGACATTTGCTGCATCAGCAGTACCTGAACATATAAAAAAGTACGTTTAATTAAAGCATTACGCAACTCAAAAGAACCATATTTTCCTGCAATTTTCTCTGTATATAAGTTCTCCTTATAGAAGGCACCATAACACATTAAGGATGCTGATAGCATAGTGAATGCCATTGTTCCTTTCAGGTTTTGGTTTTTCTTAGAGACAAGTTCTTGCTCTATTGCCCAGTCTGAAATACAGTGGCACAATCATAACTCACTGAAACCTCGAACTCCTGGGCTCAGCTCAAGGGATTCTCCAACTCAGCCTCCCAAGTAGTGGGGAATACAGGCACATGCCACTACATTCAACTAGTTTTAAAATTTAGCACAGAGACAGAGTCTCACTTTGTTCCCCAGGCTGATCTTGAACTCTCGGGTTTCAATGACTCTCCCACCTTGGCCTCCCTAAGTGCTGAGATTACAGGCATAAGCTACCATACCTGGCCAGAGAATGCCATTTTTCTCACAGATTTCCTATTATTCCTTCACAAAGTGATTATAATAACAGAAACTTTAATTGATACCTTAAAGGAGTGTTCTATTTTCTAAAACTCATGCACTTGCCTTTCTCCTGTGCCACACCGTGGTCCTGGAGGCTTTTATCTTCTGTGTTTAAATTTGCATAAGAGTCACAACCCCAAAATGCACAGCACTGATATGCATATGGTACTGATAAAGACCTGGAAAAAAGTTGTAAAATCTGCACTGAATAGCAACTTCACAGATATGGTTTTGTTTTGTAAAAGTATTTTAAACTGAAAACCCCAGCCTACAGTCAGAAAGATCTGTCATGTGCTTTAGGCTCTTCATTCATCTTCTCTGGGCCTCAGTTTCCTTATCTGTGATAACAGCTCTGGTATCAGATGACACCAAGGCTTTCTCCCTTTCTGTAAGATCTCTCTTAAGGGTTGGATGTAAATCAAACTATATTTAAAATTTAATAGCAGTACTGTAATTTAAAGTAATATCTATGACTCCTTTTATAAATGTATTAACTATGCTCAATTTATCATATGAAACTGATAGTTTCACTTAAAATTAATGCCCCAGGTCATTTGTGACTTTATACCATTAAATAAATTTACTTTGTTTAAATAAATGGAATGAAAATATTTATTCTCTTCTTCAACAATAGTATTCTCTCTCTTTTGTTAGAGACAGGGTCTTGCTCTGTCACCCAGGCTACAGTGTAATGGTGCAATCACAGCTCACTGTAGCCTAGAACTCCCAGGCTCAAGTGATCCATTTCAGCCTCCCGAGTAGCTGGGACTACAAGCACGTGCCACAACATCCAGCTAATTTTTCCATTTTTTGTAGAGACAGGGTCTCAGCATGTTGTATAGGCTGGTCTTGAATTCCCGGTGTCAAGTGATCCGCCCACCTTGGCCTTCCCCAAAGTGCTGGGATTACAGCGTGCACCACTGTGCTTGGCCTCAGAAGAATATTCTCAAGCACTCTCTCTACTGTAGTTAATGCAGTCCCTCATAACTCTAAAATCTTCATGAAATATTATAGCATTGTATCAGTTTTCTGCAGGTTCACATTTACACGGTTTCTGCCATCTTATTGCTAATGAAAAGTCTACTGTATTAAAAAAAAATTCTGATGAATAGCTGTATTATCTCTTTAAAGCCATTAAGGGCTCCAGTTCATGATCTTAAAACCTATGGAATAATGTTTATGTTCTATTTTTTATCAAATTTATACAGATGGAGGTAGAAAATACCCTTAAATTATAGCCTATCAGAAAATCTGAGAACCACAGCAAAAAACCAGGACACTCTATAATTTTGGAGCCTACCATAACTTCAACAAAAAAGAAAAATAAGCAAAAACACACCTGAGGTTAACAAAGTCTTTTGCTGCTAAGGCTTCTTTCAGCTTGAAGTTCCCCACAAGTTTCAGCTGATTTAGCCCATTCAGGCCTTCCGTAGGAAAGGAAGTTAATTCATTGAAACTTACATCTCTAAAATATGAATGAGACTTCAAGTTAATGCCTAAGATGTAAATAACATAAAAACATCTGTACATGTATTCACAGCATAAATATTAGATCCCTATGATGAAGTTCAAGTGGGGGTGCCAAAATGATAGGTCTAGCATGTATCTTGCCATTTGAGAAGATTTTACTATAGATACGGCTTAGCATTTATACAAAGGAACAACTAAACAGAAAAATACTTTGATTTGACAATGTTAAAACAGATGTTCCTATAGCACTAGTTTACTACCTTCATGACATTACCGCATAATCATCTACTTACAGGTTAGTTATTGGCCCAAGTGTGGCAAAAGCTCTAATGTGAATTTCATGGATCAGGTTTCTACTCAGATCTCTGCAATTATAAGAGTAACATGTTAATCTTTCAAATAAACACTCAAAATGCCACTTACTTAGACTATACTTTAAAATTAGAGGTAGTAACACAATATCGCTGATAAGATAACAAAGCTCTTCAATCTCACCCAGCAACATTTTTTCCTGTTTATGTTGAATGCCTCTCCTTCACAACAGTCTATTTCTTGGAATATATTCCATATAGCAGTAATTCTAGCTGGCTTCTGTTTCAAAACAGTTGTGAATTTTCCCACTTTATCTTTCTGATATCAATTCAGAAATATAAATGATATAACCTTTGGTACTGCTAACTCAGTGAGGAAAAGCCCGGTTTCTGAAAAAGCTGAAAATAAAAACAGACTTTACATTATTTGCCTTCTCAAAGGTTAGTGATAAGGTCCCAAGAGAAGACAAACAATCAATATGCAAACAAGAGCATTCCAGGAGGGCTGGAGATACCCTTCTTTTCCAAGCAGGAAATTGCATCAACAGTAGAGCCAGCTGTGTATTTAGGAACACACCCTGAGAAATTCTGATATTATAGAATTAATAAAACAGAAATAATCTACAAACACAATTACACGGAACCTTAAAGGAAATTTAAAGATTGAATAAATTTACTCTGAGACACATCTCTTAGATAACAAAGAAACTCAATGCACTTGGTTCCAAATCATGAAAAGACCAACTGCTTATTGTTACTTATCAGTATTCTAAAAGTGATGGCAACTATGAGCCAGTCTTCTTCCCTATGACTGCCCAGGTTCACAGAAAGTTAGTCTACAACCTAAGATGATTCAGCAACCCAACTACCAATTAAATATTTTCTAATAGAGTGCACATTGTATTTCTTAAAAGCGATATTCAGTATATGTAATTTTACTTCACTGTCAATTTTTCAAACTTTTTCTGTAATAGAAAAATGTTGTTCTGGGCAAGGTAGCTCACACCTATAATCTAAACACTTTGGGAGGCCAAGGTGGATCACTTGAGCCCAGGAGTCTGAGACAAGCCTGGGCAACATACGGAGACTTCATCTCTACAAAAAAATTATTAGCTGGGCATTGTGGTGTGCACCTGTAGTCCCCCGACTACTCAGGAGGCTGAAGTGGGAGGATAGCTTGAGCTGAGGAGTGGAAGGCTGCAGTGAGCTGTCATTGCACCTCTGCATTCCAGCTTGAGTGACAGAGTGAGAGACCATGTCTAAAGAAATAGAAAAAAATGTTCACTAATTTAGTGTACTGTGTTTTCTGCACAAAAGTTCTAGGAATAGTGACTGACAAGGTTTCTCTCAGTCAGCTCTATATTCCCAAGTGCTTTTGAGAGTTCCTGGAACAAATATGTAGTCAAATTCATATGATTTTTAAAATAAGTACTTCTGTGGTTTTTGAGCTCTGTTTGTCATGATAGATACCCCAGTGCAGGGGTCAGCAAACTTCTTCTGTAGAAGGCCAGATAGTAAATATTTTCACCTTTGTGGGTAATATGCTGTCTGCTGCAAGTGCTCAATTCTGCTATAGTGGGTGGGGTAAGAGCAACTTTAGACTGCACTTCAACAAAAGGCCTGGCAGTGTTCAATTAAACTTAATTGATAAACCAGGAAGCGGGCTGGATTTGGCCCCTGGGCTACGGTCTGCCTATCCTTGCCCTAATGAATTGGCATGCCTCACTATTATAACTTGAAAACAAACAAGCTACATCACTTCAGTTATACACATTAGACATTTTTCTACTTACCAATGTACAATTAGCTAAAGTAAAAAATATTGAAAGTAGATTATAAAGTTGCAAGTCTAAAAATCTTGCAAAGTCTAAAATAATACTTTAGGTAAAGTCTAAAAATAATGTTTAACTGAACACAAATTATATCTTTTTTTGTTTTGTTTTTTTGAGACAGATTTTCACTCTTGTTGTCCTACTGGAGTGCAATGGCACAATCTCTGCTCACTGCAACCTCCGCCTCCCGGGTTCAAGTGATTCTCCTGCCTCAGACTACCAAGTAGCTGGGATTACAGGCATGCACCACCATGTCTGGCTAATTTTTTGTATTTAGTAGAGACAGTGTTTCACCATGTTGGTCAGGCCAAAATTTAAAATTATATCTTTAAGAATATCTAGTAACACAGTGACACAGAAATCATAACTAGATATTAATTTAGTTTGGAAAAAATTTATTATCTTTAATAATCATAACAAACTTACAAAATCCTTAGAGATATCAGGCCTTGAAAGGTGCCTTCCTTTATTTGGTAGATCTGATTACGCTGTAAAGAACTAGAGAAAAAAAGAAAAAGAAGAAAGAAGATGAAGACGAAGGAGGAGGAAGGAGAAAAGGAAAGATAAAGAGAAAGAGATACAGAGAAAGAGTTACTTTCTATTTTGAAAAATAACATTATAACATTTCTTAGTTGAATTTTTCTAAGTTTTAATAACTATTCTTACGCAACAGTAATCTTGTTGAAAGAGAACTGTCCTATTCTCATCTATGAAATGAGTTAGATTAATTGGTATTACATCCCATATTATACTGGGAATTAACTGATATGCTATCTAAATTGCCTATCAACCCCAATCAGGCATAAGAGATGGAAGATGATACAGGGAGAAAAGAAACCAAAGCAACACAACCATTACAAATACCACAGGAATAAAGTTACAGGATTAAACAGATTGAAAATGGGAGAATTAATGCCTCGCTCTCCCCGTCTCCCAGCCAACTTCCACCAGAGCTGTACATCATAGGACATGATGGCTTCTGGCATTCATGTCTGATTTCCATCAATAGCTGGACAAGTTTTTCTTTTCCATTTCTTTTAAATATACACCAACTTCACCCACATGGTGTTTCATGGGATGCCTGATATATAATACATGCTGGCTGCATGAACACATCTAGTTCAATTTGACATTTTATTTATGAAAACATCTGATTATCAGAATTTCTAATTTCTTACTATTAAATCCATCTATTAAAAATAGAAAATGCTCAACAAACTAACAATATACCACAGCAAAAAGAATAAGTCAAAGACCAACTCACATTTCTTCCAGAGCATGGCAACCATTAAAACTTGGAAGGTCTCTTATATTGTTGTAAGACAAGTCCCTTAAAACAATGGAAATTAACAAATTAATGCTATGTTATCAGAATACTATATTAAAAGAGTGGTACTCAGAAGCATTGAAAGCAGGGCTAAGATCTATAATAAAGAGATATGCCTGAATAAGAAAAGCAATTATTTTTTTCCTAAGACCTGTAAGCTTCTCAAATACCTCAGTGATACAATAAGCCTAAGATTTATAAAGTCCAAGTATATACTGTTGAACAGAAACGCTATAAAATATCTAAAAATACATTTATATAAAGTAAAAACATAAATATGCAAAATTAAATATAAAAATATAGAAAAACAAAATATGTTTTAAGTTTTAGAAAATTTGTTTTAAGTGGTAAAGCTAGTTTTTTTTTAATTTGTATATTTTCAATACTGTTTATGCCATAGACAACTTATTATATTCTTTTAATGAAAAGCTCTAAGAGAGAAATGGTATGCTTATCAACATTTTAAAAAATATTTATATTACATCAAACACCAGAACTAGTTAATTCTCAGACCCACTGCAGTTGTTTCTCAACAGTTATGATTGTGTTTAAATCTGATATGCAACTACATCATTAAATTATAGTCATGACCCAAGTAACAGTTTGGGTCAATGACAGACACCATATACAACGATATGGTCCCATAAGAGTATAACACAGTTAATCTGCTCCAACTTTTTTATCCTTAGATAAACAAATACTTACCATTGTATTACAATTGCCTACAGTATTCAGTACACTATTATTCAGTATTCAGTACAGGTTTGTAGGTTAGGAGCAACAGATTATATCATATAGCTTAGGTACATAGAAGAAATCATCGAAGTTTATGAAAGTAAACTCTATGATTTTCACACAATGACAAAATTGCCCCCTGACACATTTCTTAGAATGCATTCCCATTGTTGAGTGGATGTATGACTTTACTTGCTTCATCAGTCATTTATTTTGTTACTATCTCCCTCCACTGAATACTTATTAACAACTTAATAACTTAATTGTTTATTCTGGTGACATTTTTACATCCTTTATTTACTTTTAGTTTCTAGGTCAGCCTAAAGTTTTTAGAAAGCTACATGCTTTAGTTCATCACCGACTGAATAAAGATTTAGGCTCTGTTTAGGTTGCTGATGAAGGAGAGGAAAATATAAGGAGATATACCCTTGAAGAAACTAGAACAAAGACAAACACTCAGATGAGAAAAAAATTAAGGAGGAGCCTAGCTTGGTTTTACTTTGTTCAGAATAAAGTCACAAGTATATGATATATTCATAACCCTAAAACCTAATTCAAATGCACATTACCCACCCTGGAGACAACTCAAACATCTGCTCCTTAACAGGAAGGGAGCAACTAAGAAGTAATTATACCTCAAAACCACCTGATGAAAGTAGATCCTTAAAAATAAAACTGGACATGTATAAATATATAAACAAAAGGTATGAGGAAAAGGGAAGAAGAATCCAACTTACAAAGTCCTAAGCATCTTTTGTTCTTGACACAAATTATTAGGTATGTTGTTTATCTTTGTACCTGTTAAAGTCCTGCAGAAAAACATTATTCATGTAAGAAATAATTCAACTCAAGATAGTAAGCAAAATTTATTCCCATATGGAAAAATAATAGAAAAATAAGTGCTCATATATTTACATATGGACTAGATTCTATACATCCCATGGCCTAATTATTCCTTAAAGTTAGGCAGCAGGAAAGTGAACTGATCCCCAATTCTGATATCATCTTCACAGTCAAAAATATGTGTGACATGAGATGTTGATATTGTCCAGATGGGCTTGATTTCCCACATGGACCAAGAGGAAAACACTAATCCACAGTCACACATCTGATCACAGTTAATTGCAAGTTGTCACCTTCTTACACCCAAGTCATTTGAAACTAACTTGCATCCTGCCCTGAAACCTTGTTTCTGTCTTTTCTTTCAGTTAACCTGGCTCGACATTCGGAAATGTTCTCTTATTCCCCTCCCTTTCTATGCTCCCTTCTATCATCTATCACCAGTTCCTGTTATTTCTTCCTCTGTTTTGTTTCCAGCATCTAATTCTTTCAGAGAAAGTGAAATGAGGCAGAGAGGGGTGGACAAATCTCAGACAGACCATGCTATTTGTCCTGGTACAAATCCAGTGATGGATTAAAGACCTGGAGCGCTCATAATTAAATGTGTTCATCCGGTCAGGTGGACTATTTCCATGGCTGCCTCACTGTTCTTACTCTCCTTCCCCTCCCACCTCTAGTCTCTATCTCCTTACCCTCCTCACATTACCTGCTCAAACATTCTCAACACCGCCAGCTGCCTTAAGAGTTAAGTTTAAACTCCTTACCTCAGTGCTTTCCAAGTTCTTTTTTTAAAAAAAAAAAATCTTGTCACATGTGACCACTGTAACATTTAAATGGCGTGCTGCAGTAAGACTCCTATGGCTAGAGGCCCTAGCTGTCTCAGGCCCCACCTGGCTGTCTGGAGGGCTGAGGTCATCAAGATCTTAAGTGCACCTGTAAACCCATGCACAGACCACTCACTGGGAAACTGCCATAACCAAAATGTCCAATGTCCAATGTTCAAGGCTTGTCATTTTAAAATCTAATCCCAAAGAATTCTCCGATGTCTCCATACCACCCTCATCCTATTATAAACATGCAATTCTAACTATATTTGCTCATCTATATGCCATCTCTGAGAATACATTTGGTATTTGCAGTTTTACTAATCCTGCCTTAAAGACCCAGCTCTGGGAAACCTGACAATATTCAAACATTCCATCTCCTCCAGGAAGCCTTCTGTGATAGTCATATCGATCCCTTCCACTTCTAAATTCTGAAAACACTGCTTCTAATTTGGCACTTTGTTATTGCCTTGTATTTTCTGTATGCTTTTCAGATCTTATCTACATAATCAGCTCTACTCTGCCTAAGCCTACTGACCTCAACATATTCTTCTCTATGCATGATATGTACAAAGAGAAACTGGAGGAATCAGCATAAACCCATCATTGTCCCTAAAAGACCCTGGCACCCTGCTAGCTGTCTAGCAGTGTTATCTTTATACAACCCCTCTTCAAAGGGCCACACTTACAGACTTTCCAGGTGGACAGTTCCAGTAAGATTGGGGAACTGCTGCACCATGCTTGCACCACGAATGACTCTTTAAGGAATTGAGAAAGACAAAGTAATTTTTAATTTTTTTTTGTATTTCATCTTTTAAACAGTTTAAAATTACAGTGCAACTAAAACTAAAAATAAAACTAGTTTCATCTCTTGAATGTTCTTGAATGTACTTGAAGATGTGATAATTTGGCTGAGTGTTGACAAAAATAAGAACCATTAAACTTCTGCCCAAGGAGAAAAAAACATTTTAAAGATTTTGTTTTTTGGAGTTCTAGTAATAAATTTTTGTTTTCCATTAAAACAACTGTATAAATATTCAGGTTTATTTTTAAATTCATATACTTACAGGGAATGAAGATCAGATAAGTTGTGAAATGCAGAGTTCCCCACAAAAGATAGAGGATTATCATACAAATGTCTGTGAAAATACCCAAAAAAAGCAAAATTTTCACATGTTCACAAGCACTCTAATATTAAATCTATGTTCACAATGTACACATATTTAAAAGCCTGAATTTTCATTCTTTATCCAGATATTTGGCAAGAAGCAGACATAGCTTCACATAATTATACATTAAAAGAAACTTTCAGAAATACTTACATAGTTCTTAAGAGTGGATTACCATCAAATGCTCCATCAGGGATAACAGAAATAGAATTACTATGAAATCCTCTAGAAAGATAGGAGAAAAGTATTTTGAAATGCATTATCCTTTTGTGAAATAAAACTCAAGTATCTACTGCTATTTAGCATTATACAAATTATAAGGATAATGACTACATGAACATTTTTAAACATAGGAAATTAAAATTTTATCTTATCTTTTTCAGTATCATACCTAATCCTTTGTTAACCTACTGCTTAGCCTGGTATGGTATCAGATCCCTCATATGCATTTATCTGTTGCTTCATCACAAAAAAAACCTTTAGACCATGAGAAACAGGTGCTCTAACCTCAAAAATCTCTCTGATTGTAGCCTGTATTTAGTCTCTTGGCAATGCCTCTTAGAATGTTCACCATCAACTAGCTCACAGCACACAGTCCCTATTGTGCCATATATAGTAACTATCTCTACCCATGCAAAATGTTCCCTCAGGCTGGGCACAGTGGCTCACACCTATAATCCCAGCACTTTGAGGGGATCACTTGAGCCCAGGAGTTTGAGACCAGCCTGGGCAACATGATGAAACCCTATCTCTAGAAAAAAATTAAAAATTAGCTGAATGTGGTGGCACATGCCTACAGTCCCAGCTACTCAGGAAGCTAAAGTGGGAGGGATCACCTAAGCCTGGGAGGTCAAAGCTGCAGTGAGTTGTGATCACATCACTGCATCATGGCACTCCAGCCTGGGCAACACAGTGAGACCCTGTCTCAAAACAAACAAACAAAAACAAAAATGCTCCCTCATTCCTTTGTTTAAATATTTTTATTCTTTCAAGTCTAGTCAAACTCCTTTCCTGTGGTGATGCTTTCTGCAGTGACTCCAAGCTTCAATTAGGTATTCTTCTGGAATGGCTTATTTCTCTTATCCATTCAGCATTGATTTCTACCTAGAAACAGCTACCTGTCTTAACAAGGTCAGCTTCTCCAGTGACACTAAGACTACAAGCTCCTTAAAGGCAGAAACCGTACATCAGGCCTTTTTGTTTTACTAGCATTTAACCCTATGCAGCAATCTATACTCAAAATCGTCTGTGCCATTGAACACAATCTAATTTGTATGATTATTTGTGTGTTTGTGTGCATGTATTATGATTGTATGTAATGGAACAAGATGTTCTAAAAATCTCATTGTTGGAACATTGAATGGTGAGTTTCAGGGATATGAAGGCATAAAGAGAATGAAGGAATACTCACAGCTCTTTTAAGCTAGGAAGGGCTTTAATAGCCTGAGGAAATTCCCCCAAGTTATTATAATTCAAGTCCCTAGAAAAAATGGGTCAAAATATAAAAAATATTGAATAGTGGTCACAATTCAGAAGGGATTTTGTTACAGATATATAGATATATATATTTAATTACATCCTCTGTATGGTAATCTTCCTTTACCAACCATATTGTCATTTAAAAGCCATGTAGGAGTTTAACTGAATTTACACCTGTTCTTACAATACTGAATAGAGAAAAATCATTTTTCTTCTGTGATGTTTTTAGGTCAACAAACTTACAAATTCAAAGAATTTTCAGAAACATGTATTACTGATGCATTAAATACAGAAATCATCTGAATAGTATTTCTCTGGAAATTCATCCTAGAATATAATTCATTGAATAGCCATTTGTAAATGACATAGCATGAAACTGAGGTTTCCATTTGGAGTTCACAGTGGCTTCCTGAAATTCTGGTATAAGAGCCGCTGACCTCAGTTCCACAACAGCATGATGACCTGAGATAAGAATAATCAGAAGGAGCAGGGTAGATTCACACAACTGTTGTCCTTCATGCAGGTTACGAATTACTAAGAATTTTATATTAGTTAGGAGAAAGCTAAGTCATAGTGATCTGTAGTAAAAGCATCTTAGTTTTGAGAGTGTCTAAAGTTTAATTTCTTTTAACATAAGAGTACATTGGCATATGATTAGCATGATTGATTTCAGAATGAAAGTAAAATAAAATTATAAGCTCAGCTCCTTTGAGACATATTTCGTTTTCCTTTTCCTTTTTTTTTAACATGGAAAAAAATGGCAAATAAAAATTCAACTCAGAAGAGGTTTAACTTTAACATAAATGAAATAGTGTACATGGCCCAGGATTAGAAAACCTATTCAATCTTTTATTTGTAACATTAAAACTTACACACTTAGCAAAGGAGATCTGAGTTTGGAACTATCTTCTACAAGATGTTCAACTTTCAAATATCCATTGATGTTTCCTATCCTCTAATTCAGATAGGAAAGTGAATTAATGGAGTCCTAAAAGATTTTAAGTCTTCTCATTAACTGATAGTTAACCAAAAAATTAAGTCGAATAAAATATTACAAACCCTGAGCATTCTAATCAGGGTTTACTCACCCATGTAATTGGGACCTTCTCTGAACCATTTACTCATCACAACAGCAAAAATTACATATCTTTGAATAAAGGCAACTAATATAGGCTAAAACAACAAAAATAAAGATTCTTCTCTCAATTATACATAGTTGCACGATGATTTTACTTATTTAGTGGTGCAATGTATAGTTGAAACAGCCAGAAGTCCCAAACACTTTAGCTAGTGGAAACAACAAAAGTATCATAGCAAAATATAAAATCTTCATTTGTTACGTGTGAAATCAGATACAGTATTCAAACCCAGTGTTAACAATTAGTAAGGCAACTGAGGTCATGGAAAAAACAAAACTACCCAGAATTCATTTTAGAAGTTTCTAAGTCCCAAAACTGTCATACATTTAACAAAACCAACATTTCTGGAAAGATATAAATCTTTGTAGATTGAGCCGCTTTGAACATGTATTGTTTGGGGGAAAATATGCAATTCATACTTTCCCATTTTTAGTGATGAGCTTAGATTAGCATTCATAATTGGGTGCTTTGATAGCAAGAATTTAATCAGCTATTGAAGTGAATTAATAAGGAGCTCAATTCAAAGCCAATACTTTTTTCTTTTTCTGCAATGAAGGACAAAATTGTACTTTAAATATTACAATGCAGTTGCCCAAAATGTTAATATACTTACAAGGTCTCCAGGTTATCTAGTCCATGAAAACAATGTTGACTCAGGCTTTTAATTTTATTGTTATGAAGATGCCTATGAGAAAAAAAGCATAACATGACTTTTCCATCTCCCATTGGCAACTATATTATTGTTTAACATGTCTAAATTGGTGTGTGAAGGAATGATGTAGCTAAACATATCAACAGTTGACCATAGAAAACAAGTGGTATTGGCTAATTATCTCTTGTTATGTACACTGCACAGACTCACTGAACATAGACCACCCCATGGAAAGAGAAAGTACCTGTAATGGAAATAAGGTACAGACATGGAAGATTATTTAATATTTATACATATCAAAATAAATTTTTGGTTGGCTCTTAATTATATGAAGCAAAATTTGATGATCTCCCCCTACTGAGGACATGAGGGTAATGGTGTGGAGGAAGTGTGTAGTTTACAACAGTGAAATCTCTAACAGATCTTAAAAGAAGCGCTTCGTTATGTCTTGGAAGATTAAAAACACAGTGCATCACATACTCTCTGAACAAGTGGATAACATGAAATAATCCTGGGACTAACTTCTATGAACATCTCAAAGTGATTTCCCTTCTTTTAACATTGAATACACTGCTGGGACACAAGCAAAAGTTGTATGAATATGTGCTGAATGACCCAATTTCTTCTCATGATCACAACTGGCCATTTATCTGAGGGATTCAGCAATTATTATCAGCTATTAATTTTTTTAATTCTCCTATTCTGTTTAGTCTTGTACAAAAGCAGCTCCCTCAAACACTAACTATTCAGGAGCATAATCAGCGAGGTAGTTTGATAATAATTTGTCAGAAGAAACCTGTTTTTGTACCTGAATTAATACAAATATATGGAATTATAAGGGACAGATACTTACAGAACTACCAGGCTTGAAAGGTTGGTAAATGCAAAGTCAGGGATGCTTGAGATCTTGTTGAGAGCCAGGGTCAGTGCCTGTAGGGTGGGCAGATTGCTGAGGGGGTGCACAGGCACCTCCGTCAAGCTGTTGTCATCCAGCCACAGATGCCGTAACTGAACAAGCCCTTTAAAACTGTCCTCGGGGACTGAGGTAATATGGTTGGCATCTAAACGCCTGACAGAAACAGAAACAACCATGTTCAGTAACAAATTCTAGTGAAATGAGTCAGTCCAAGTCTCACAACTCTCAAAGCTCTCCAAACAAAAAGGACTTATAAAAATGACTATCTTTAATTTCACTGGAAGTCCTAGTAAAATCTAATAACATTTTCATGATCAGTATATGAAAGTCAGTTCTTTCTTTTCTTTCATAAGAATGGCATGTATCCAAATCTATATTCTTCAACTATCTTTGGCTAAGAAGTAACTTTATAGCAGAAAGATATATTTTTTTTTAAAGTGACAAAGTTCATATTGAAATTGTTTCAGAGCATAATTATCAGACATACAAAAAAAAAAAGAAACTAAACTGACCAAATAAGCTACTTTACTTCCAATGTAACATTATAACTAATATTAGACATTAAATTTAGTCGTTACTGATTCTGTACCAAAGGAAAATATTAGAAAATACTTAGAATTTGTTTATAACAACAAAGAATTTCAATAGATTTTCAACCATCCTTATTACCTCTAGGCAAGTTAAAAATATAAGTGTCACATACAGGCAAAGCAACTTTATCCTCTTCTCTTAGCAGTTAAGTGCTTTTGAAAAATTCGTGTGCCAAAATTAACAGTTATTAAGAAAAGGTCAAATTGTCTGTTGGAAAAATTAAGCAGCTCTTAGAATCAATGTTACTGTGGCTTTAAAGCTTCTTCAATGTTTCCAAAAATTTTGGAATTAAGAACACCTTACTAATAGGATTACTCATACTTAAAATTAAGTCCCCATATGAAAATCAGGAAACTAAGTCCTACGTATTATTGGCATAACCAGATGTAATTGTTGGAATAATTGCTTTTCAACAATCTGGTATTAATATGATGAGGGACACTATGTGCCAGGCAAATCACAGCTTTCCTCACAAATCCCTTGTTGATGTATCTTCATCATTTATATTCATGCCTCACAGCCCTGGACCTCTTTGTGAAAATTACAGAACACACACAAAAAAACTGATTAAAAATTCAAAATGACAGCATCTTTTTAAAGAAACAGTTTGACAACTTTCAAGTTCAGGAAATTCTGAGTTTTAGAGTGGTTTTTGTGTCTCCTGTTTCCTTACACTGTTCCAACTTCAGTTCCTGACATAATTGTCCCTTTCTACCACAGTCAGGTTCTGGGCCCCTGGTCCCAATTAACTGCTCCCAGCTCCAGATGCATTTTCCCTTCCTAGTGACAGATGAGCAGGGGTTAAAGACCATTGGTCCTGGTGAGTATCTGATGGAAGCTTTCTTTCTAATAGAGTTAAGATAACCAAAAGAACACCTAAAAAGGGAGAGCTTAGGATACTGAGCAGCTGCCTTAAGAATCTACCTAGAAACACACATTTTTAGACTTGTTCATTTTTGAGGCTTTCTAGAACTTACCCTGAGACAGGCAACTTTTATATAACAGACTGGCAAAGTACTGGCTACAGAGCTGTAGAATATTTGCTTTAATGAGCAGATAGGAATGTGTTCAAATACGTGCGCACGTACGCGCACACACACACTCACATGCACACACCCCTCATGGAACTCTTCCATTCTTAGGAAGGAAGACAGTTAAACATATAATCATACAATTAAGCATATTATATAAATAAATGATGTATGTAACTAAATTATATTTGTAGATAACTTAATTACCTGCAATTCATTCAACACATTTAAATTGAGCATCTTGTTAGGCAGAAAGGATAAACTAGAGAAAGGCAAGAGGCCTGTCCTTAGGAGACTGATATTCCAGTGGAGGAGGTGACATACAAGTTGCAAAATGATAATGGAGTACTTTAAAAGTACCTCTGGAGTAGATAAACAAGGCACTGAGATTAAAGACTGATGGACTCTGAGGAGGAGGGTAGCTACTCAAAATGCATTTGGTCAAGAAAAGTATTTCTAAGAAGGTGACTTTTTTTTTCTGTCCTGCATTGCAGAGGTCAGATCTTTTTTTTTATTATTGCATTTTAGGTTTTGGGGTACATGTGAAGAACATGCAAGATTGTTGCATAGGTACACACATGGCAGTGTGATTTGCTGCCTTCCTCCCCATCACCTATATCTGGCATTTCTCCCCATGCTGTCTTTCCCCAAATCCCCACCCCCTGCTGTCCCTTCCCTATTTCCCCTTGACAGACCCTAGTGTGTGATGCTCCCCTCCTTGTGTCCATCAATGATAGACTGGACAGGGAATATGTGGCACATATACACTATGGAATACTATGGAGCCATAGAAAACGATGAGTTTATGTCCTTGGTAGGGATATGGATGAAACTGGAAACCATCATTCTCAGAAGGTTACATTTAAAGTGAGACCTAAAGAATAAACAAGAATGAGTTGAAACAGGAGCTGGACAAGGAATGTTTTAGGCAAAGAAAAGAGACAGGCAGAGACCCAGTAGTAGAAACCAACTTGGTATGATCTGGCAACTCCCAGAAAACAAGAGTGATTAAAATGCAGGAGGAGGGGAGTAGAGGGCCCAAGAAGACACAGGTGGGGATGTGAACAGGGTCCACCTTTCATGAGTATAGTCCAGGTAAGGGGTTTGGGTTGTATTTTCGATACAAATTGAAGTTCCTTAGTGTTACTGCAGTTGAAAAGTTTAAATTATTTATCATATTGATGACAATGTATATTCATATTCAATAAAATAGTATGTGAAGATGGCCAATTAGGAGCAGCTCAGGATTGCAGATCCCAGAGAAAGTGCAGAGGGTGAGTGGATGCCTCATTTCCAGACAGATTTTTATTTCTCACAGACCAGGAGATTCCCAGGCAGAGGAGCCCCATGGGTCGCCAGCACAGTGGGTTTGGCCAGCAGGGCTGCTTTGCTGGTACCCTGGGGCAGCAGTTCTCCATACAAAATACACGGGGCCGGGCACTGTTTTAGCTGGTGATTGGAGATCTGGGAAGGCAGAGTTGCCCATTCATCTGATTAAAAGGGGGACTGAAACAGGGAGCCAGGCCAGGAGATTCCCGGGCAAAAAAAAAAACGCGAATCTCAGCACTGCTGTTTCAGCCGGCACAGTGGGTCTCCACACAGAAAATCACACAGATCCCGGATCCTTTTCAACAGGCAACTGGAACACCTGGGAGACAGTCAACCATTCAACTTAAAAAAAAGGCTCTGAGGCAGGGATCCAGATGATCAGGCTTGGCTGGTCCCACCCCCACAAAAAAACAGCAATTGGAAACGCTCTGGGTTGAGAGTTTCACAGCAAGCACAGCTGAACCCGGGAAGGTCCAGCTCTGTGTGGGAGGAGTGTCTGCCATTACCGAGGCACTCCACCACTACGGAGGTAGTCCGCCATTGCTGAGGCAGCCCACCATTGTTGAGACAACCCACCACTACAGAGAGTCCGCCATTACAGAGGTGGGCCAGCTTTGCAGAGGCAGTCCTAACTACACCCGTATAAACAGGACTGCAAGGAAGTTCACACAAGCAGCTGGGCGCAGCCCACAGCAGCTCAGCAAAGCCTCTGCAGGCAGACAGTGACTAGGCTGCCTCCTTGTTGGGCAGGGCAGCCCTGATAAAAAGGCAGCAGCACAATGAAAACTCATAAATAAAGCCCTAACTCCCCGGGGCAGAGCACCCAGGGAAAAAAAAGGGGGGTTTATGAGTTCTGCAGCAGCAGACTTAAACGTACCGGCCCAGCAGCTCTAAATGAACAATGGAGATCACAGCTCAGTACCTGAGCTCCTATAAAGGACATACTGTCTCCTCAAGCAGCTCCCTGACCCCTATATATCCAGAGTCACCTCACAAAGGAGAGCTCAGACTGACATTTGGCGGGTATCCTTCTGGGACAAAGATAGCAGAATAAGAAACTAGCAGCAACCCTTACTGTTCTGCAGCTGCTGTAGGTGATCCCCAGGCAAGCAGGGCCTGGAGTGGACCTCAGCAGTCCTACAGCAGAGGGGCCAGACTGTTAGAAGGAAAACTAAGAAACAGAAGGAAATAACTTCATCATCAACAAACCGGACGTCCACTCAGAGACCCAATCTGAAAGTCAACAACTACAAAGACAACAGGTGAATAAATCCACAAAGATGGGAAAAAACCAGTGCAAAAAGGATGAAGACACCCAAAACCAGAACGCCTCTCCTCCTACAAGGGATCACAACTCTTCACCAGCAAGGGAATAAGGCTGGATGGAGAATGAGTGTGATGAATTGACAGAATCAGGCTTCAGAAGGTGGGTAATGAGAAACTTCTGTGAGCTAAAAGAACATGTTCTAACCCAATGCAAAGAAACTAAGAATCCTGAAAAGAGATTTGATGAAATGCTAACGAGAATAGACAACTTACAGAGGAATATAAGTGAATTGATGGAGCTGAAAAACACAACACGAGAACTTCACGAAGCATGCACAAGTTTCAACAGCCAAATTGACCTAGTAGAAGAAAGGATTGAAGATCAACTGAATTAAATAAAATGAGAAGGCAAGATTAGAGAAAAAAGGGTAAAAAGGAATGAACAAAGTCTCCAAAAAATATGGGACTATGTGAAAAGACCTAATCTACGTGTGATATGTGTACCTGAATGTGACGGACAGAATGAATCCAAGCTGGAAAATACTCTTCAGGATATCATCCAGGAAAATTTCCCCAACCTAGCAAGGCAGGCCCATATTCAAGTCCAGGAAATACAGAGAACACCACAAAGATATTCCTCAAGAAGAGCAACCACAAGGCACATAATCGTCAGATTCACCAGGGTTGAAATGAAGGAGAAAAGACTAAGGGCAGCCAGAGAGAAAGGTCGGGTTACCCACAAAGGGAAGCCCATCAGACTCACAGCAGATCTCTCAGCAGAAACCCTATAAGCCAGAAGAGAGTGGGGGCCAATATTCAACATCCTTAAAGAAAAGATTTTTCAACCCAGAATTTCATATCCAGCCAAACTAAGCTTCCTAAATGAAGGAAAAATAAAATCCTTTGCGAACAAGCAAGTACTCAGAGATTTTGTCA